ATTAATGTCCTTTCTATGTGCCAAGCCCTGTGCTGAGTGCTGCAGATACAAATAGGAGAAGAGAAAGACTGCCCTGCCCTCAAGGAGCTTGCAATCTAATAGGGGAAAACAAAGCTGAAAAAAAAGTGAGGCAGAATGGAGAGAGAGGAAGAAGGTAGCCATTGAGATAGTATCCTAGTGGCCTGGCAAAAGAAAGGTAACCTACAGTTAGAGATAGAAGGGACTTCAGAGATCATCTATCCCCAAACCTTCATTTTCTGTATAAGGAATTAGGGGTCCTCACAAGGCAAGTGACTTGTCTAAAGTCACAGAAGACATATCTGTCACACATGGGTCTTTGTATTCCCAGGGCCTAGCCTAGACCTTGAATTAAGTAAACACTTAATGAATGGTTTTTGAAATGAATTGTGGAAGAAGGCCTTAACTGTTAGCTCACCCCAGCCTTTAACAAACAGATTATAGAAGTATCTCCTGGAAGATCAGCCTGCTATACAGTTAATTACAAAACATTAACTCTATGTCACTTATATAAGTGAAAATGACTTAACTTTTACATAGTACTTTCAGTTCTGAAGTGTTCTTTACATTTAATATCTATAAGGTAAGTGCTGTTATTAGCTCCATTTTGCAGATGAGGAAACTGAGGCAAAGAGAGATTGCAGTTGGCCCAGAGTCATAGAGCTTAGTAAGTAGTGGAGCCAAGGTTCAAACCCTGATTCTGAATCCAAACCTCTTTCCATAGCTCAAAGCTAACTGCACCCCCCCCCCCCAACGGTGGCTTTGGGACTCCTGGGAAGTGCTTAGACCTGATCCCAGTGGAGCTCTATCCTGCTAAGTGATTTTACAAAGTCTCACTGCTTAGGCCCTAGCAAATAATCCTTCTTTAAACTTTCCCTTCTGCAATTATAATTCTTTAGCAGCCCCTTCCTCTGGATATTAGAAATGAATGGAATATGGTGTTCCTTTGGGAATGTTAACCCCAAGAATAAGCAGTTCCTGCCCCACCCCACCCCCTTTATAGGAAACCATGCAGTTAGAAACCATTTCTACCCCCTAATTCACTTCCTCCCAAAGGTTTCCATGCTGTCTATTTCTGCTGTCCTGCAGAGTTTTCTCATTTGGGAATCGTTAAAACAATGAATGTAAATAGTGAAAGAGCCCTCCACTTAGTGTTTCCAGGATAATCACTTTTCCCCCCATGGTGGAAGCAGAAATGCACACATTAATTTGCTAGACCCATGGGGGTGATGAATTTTCCCAACAATTTCCATCAGTCTCGGGAAGAAGAATATCAGAGAGAAAATAACAAGCTGATTACTGATACAAAGCAAATAGGCCACTTGAATGAGGGCTCGGTGATTAGAACGACAGATGATATGATGGCAGTCGTCATCAATGCCTATTCTTCACGACTGATCCCATAGCCAGGCACCAGCTCCCAGCCCTTCCTTTCTTTGCCTAGTGATGATTTTACTTTAGTTTGACATTATATTGCAATTGGTGCTGATACTTTCCAAACTGGTGAACAAACAACTTTGATGTACTAATAAAGAGCAGTTATTTAGCTGCAGAGCAAAGAGATAACAAAGCCTCTGAATTTGGCTGTGAAATGTTCATATACAGAATGAATTCCTAGCTGGTTGGTTTTTGATTACATCTATCTTTAAGTCAACTTTTAGAATCAGGAAGTTTGGAGAGGAATATTACTTGGAAGAATGAATTACAAGAGTATTCTGATGAGGATCAAATGAGTTAATATATGTTAATCACTCTGTAAATCTTAAATTACTCTATTATAAGTGTTATTTATCATTGTTATCATTACCAATAAAGATAATATGAATTATACATCATAGATATGGTGGATAGCCTGGGTCTTAAGCTATTGTTTGCCTAATAAATACAAAAAAAAGTTACAGTATGACTGGGACATTGGGCTTAGAATCTGGAACACCTGAATTCTAATCTTTCATTTCACGGTAACTATTTGTGTAACCTAGGCAGCCTAACATCTGTGTACCTCAAGAAGCTCCCTTAAACATACCAATTAATTCATACATGGGCCAGGACCTGAAGATGAAGGGAATTCCCATACTTGAACACATGAATAATATCACAGATTCTTTGTGTATTTGTGTTAAAAAAGAATAACTCAGGAATAAGTTTACACATGCTCATTACTCCTAGGGAGTATTCAGCGGGATTAACCTACCAACATTCATTAAGACATTGTGATTGATAGGTGCTGGAGAAGGGGCAAAGAAATTGAACAAATTTCCTGTCCTTAAGAATCTTGCCGTGGAAACGGAGAGAGGAGACAAAAACATGTGAAAATATAATTATCAGTTGTTGTTTGGCTGTTTCAGTCATGTCCAACTCTTTGTGACCCCAATTGGGTTATTTTTTTGAGGGGCAAAGATACTGGAGTGGTTTGTCATTTCATTTAGCTCACTTAACAGATAAGGAAACTGAGGCAAACAGGGTTAAGTTATAGGATTTTCCATGCCCCGTTTTCATTCTGCCCCTTCTGTCTCCATATCTTGATCAATTTGCCTACCATTCTTAGAATCAATCCCCATCAACAAGCCAAATCAGGTAAAAGTTTCCTTTCTTTTAAGACTTAATTCAGGGATCACCTCCTCTGTGAAATTTTCCTTGATTCCATTAACTGGAAGTGATCATTTGATCCTCAAAGCAATCTTGGGATCTATTTTGCACATGAGGAAACTGAGGCCCACATAGGTTAAATGTCTTGCCCAGCATCACATAGCTAGTAAGTAATTGAGGCCAAATTTAAATCCTGTCTTCCTGACGCCAAACCGAGAGTGCTATCAATTTTGATTGTTGCCAAATAGCCACCTAGCTGTTTGGAAGAATAAAAGGTCATGGAGAAAATATTTTTGAGAATACCATAAAATTCTACGTGATTCTAGCCTTCTTAACAATAACTGTTAATAATCATGCTCAATTTTCACCTTCTTCTATGTAACTGCTAAAAATGACAATGTTTTGTTCAGCAGAAGGAAATGGGAGCCATTGAAGAGAGAGACTCTCTCAAAGGCATTTTCCTTACAAGAATCCAGGCAGCAAAACAGTTTGGGCCGGCAATTTATAATGAAGTCCAATTCATATTAATGATTTGAGGCTTAACCTAATAACTAATGGAGATCTGACGGATAAAGAAGCTCACAATGTAATAAGGAAAACTGGCAGAAAGGATTATGCTCTAATCAAAATAAATTGTTTTAAGATTAATTTTCACATGACCAATGCCATTTCCATTTATTATATTGAAAATAAATGCATTGTGGTTAACTTTGTCATATCCTTGAGAAAAGAATGAATAAACATTCTTATGCTCATGAAGTATAAATGGTGATTTTCTAAAAAGAAACTATAAACAAGGGTGGTTCAATAGTATTAGTAAGGAAAAAAATAGCTCAAGGCTCTCATTTCTCTTCTTTTCCTGGGAAGTATCTGACCGACATCACTAAAATGCTGATTAGCACCATTAAAAAAAACAAAACAGTACAAAATAATATTCAATCATTCAACAGACATTCATGTGACTGTTGTGGGTAGAACACTGCGCTAGCCACTTGGAGGATGGGGAGGAATGCAAAGTTTTAAAGAAAATGTGATTTCTGCCCTCTTGGTGGGTCGGGGTAACATGGAACATGGTCTGTTATTTGCCTTTCCTCCGTCTCCTACATCCCCAACTCTGGCTTTGGAATCCCTTGCTACTTTTCTCAGATGCACTCTGCTGTATTTAGCATAATCAGTCATGGAGCTCATCAGCCTGAGTCCAAGCAATTCACCCTTCTATTCCAATTCATCCATTCATTCAAGCTGTATTTGTGAAGCTACTATTTTCTCAGCACTGTGCAATAAAATTAAAAAAAAGGCCCTGCCCTCAAGACACTTACTTTCTTTTGAGGTAAACAGTACATACCCAGACAAGTATAAATTATGTACAGAATGCATTTTGGCCCAAATAACACCTTTTATGTGAAGCCTTTCCTGGTTCCCCCAGATGTAGGTGCCCTACTCCCCCCCCCAATTACTGTCTTTTAGTATATATTTATTTATATACTCATTGTCTCTTTCAATAGAATATAATCTCCTGAAGGTAGGGATGGGCTTCATTTGGTCTTTATATCCCTAGCACTAGCATGGTGTCTGATGCATAGCAGGTAATTAATTAATACTGGTCAATTGATTGATCTATATCACTTTGAACAATGACTAGAGTAAGGACATGAATGGTGCATATGCCCTTAACTCTATCTCCCACACCTGATCCTGCCCTCCTTTGGAAAATGGCAAGAGGGTGGTTATGGTGGTGGCAGAGGCTGGAGGAAGGGGATAGAATGGGAGGAGAGAAGAAATGGGATACGTGAGACCCAGGGCAATGGTCATGGGATCACAGAATTAGAGAGCCTGAAGGGACTTAAGAGGTCATCCGGGCCAACCCCTTCATTTTACAGATGAGGAAGCTGGGCCCAGAGATGGGAAGTGACTCGTTAAAAGTCACAGATATTAGGTATCAAAGTGGGACTCCAAACCAGGTCCTCAGAGACTAAATCCAGTGCTATTTCCACTATGTCATGCTAACTCTCTCCACCTAGATCTTGGAAGAAGGTGAGATGAAATTAAAAGCCATCCAAATATAAACTGGAATGTTGTTCTGCCTCTCTGCCCCTCCCCATCAAGGGGAGACTTCCCTGGACACCCTCCCCTCAGTGCCTCTCTCTTCCTCTAGAGCTCAAATTACCTTGTATTCAGTTAGTCATCTTTGTATATGTCACATCCAGCAGTAGAATATTAATTCCTTCAGGGCAGAGATTGACTTTCATTCTGCCTTTGTAGCTTCTATGCTCAACATAAGGGCTGAAATGATTGTTAGCCTGAAGCACTGAGTATAATTTTATTTATTTATTTATTCTTTCAACAAAATTGCAATAATGACTAATACATCACTAATTTTTTTCTATATATAGCTCCCACTAAGAGAGGCTGTCTTTGCTTCATCAGAAGGAACAAGTAAATGAATAAAGATGCATGTGGATTTTCTGAAACAGCTCAAGCAAGGAACTCGGCATGTAACCTCAATCAATTTACTGTTGTTGGGTCAAAGCATTGCTACCATCTGGGCATCCAGTAAGTAGTTCAGGCATCAAATGCATTGACTCACTGTCCTATCACAGGAATTTTACAAAGATTTGTCATCCACTCTTCACAATCAAGAACTCAGTCTTCTGGCAAAAGTTGCTGGGAAACCAAAAAATTATTTTATAGAGTTAGAAAAAATAATAACAAGATTCATTTGGAAAAACAAAAGGTCCAGAATATCAAAGGAACAAATGAAAAGAAATGCAGGGGAAGGTGGCCTAGCAATTCCAGATCTTAAATTGTATCATAAAGCAGCAATCATCAAAAGTGCTTGGTACTGGCTAAGAAATAGGGAGGTGGATCAGTGGAATAGGTTAAATATGCAAGACACAGTAGTCAATGACTATAGTAATCTATTATTTGATAAACCCAAAGACCCCAGCTTCTGGGATAAGAACCCACTCTTTGAAAAAAACTGCTGGGAAAACTGGAAAAGAGTATGGCAGAAACTAGGCATAGACCCAAATCTCACACCATATACCAAAATAAAGTCAAAATGGGTTCAGGACTTAGATATAAAGGCTGATACCATAAGTAAACTGGGAGAACAAGGAATAGTTTACCTATCAGATCTATGGAGAACAGAAGAATTCATGACCAAACAGGAGATAGAGAACATTATGAAAAGCAAAATGGATATTTTGATTACATTAAATTGAAAAGTTTTTGCACAAACAAAGCCAATGCAACTAAGATTAGAAGGAAGGTAGAAAATTGGGAAAGAATTTTTACAACCAGTCTCTCTGATAAAGGCCTCATTTCTAAAATATATAGAGAATTAAGACAAATTTATAAGAACACAAGCCATTCCCCAATTGATAAATGGTCAAAGGATATGAACAGACAGTTCTCAGATGAAGAAATTAAAGCCATCTATAGTCATATGAAAAAATGCTCTAAATCGTTATTGATTAGAGAAATGCAAATCAAAACAACTCTGAGGTACCACATCACACCTATCAGATTGGCCAACATGACAAAACAGGAAAATGATAAATGTTGGAGAGGATGTGGGAAAATTGGAACGCTAATACATTGTTGGTGGAGATGTGAAATGATCCAACCATTTTGGAGAACAATTTGGAACTATGCCCAAAGGGCTACAAAAACGTGCATACCCTTTGATCCAGCAATAGTGTTGTTTCTAGAGCTATATCCCAAAGAGATCAAACAAATGGGAAAAGGACCTGCATATACAAAAATATTCATAGCAGCTCTTTTTGTGGTGGTAAAGAATTGGAAATTGAGAGGATGCCCTTCAATTGGGGAATGGCTGAACAAGTTGTGGCATATGAATGTAATGGAATACTATTGTGCTATAAGAAATGATGAACAGGCTGACTTCAGAAAAACCTGGAAAGACTTATATGGTCTGACGCTGAGTGAAGTGAGCAGAACCAAGAGGACTTTGTACACAATAACAGCCACATTATGTGATGACTAATATTGTTGAACTGAACCCTTCTCAGCATTACGAGGATCTAAGACATCTCCAGAGGGCTCGGGATGGAAAATGCTGTCCACATCCAAAGACAGAACTATGGAAGTCAAATCGCTCTCACCTATTTTTACCTTCTGTTGAGTTTTGTTTCTTCTTTCTGATGGTTCCTTCTATTGGTTTTAATTTTTACTTACAACTTCACTAATGTGAAAATATGTTTAATAGGAATGTAAATGTAAAGCCTATGTCAGATTGTGTGCCATCTTGGGGAGGGTGGGGGGGGAGGAAGGGGGAGAAAAACTTTCAACTCAAAAGCATATGGAAGTGATTGTTGATAAATCAATAAATTAATAAAATTGGAAAAAAAGTTGCTGGGAGGTTATGAAACCATGGACAGTATAGGGCACCTTTCATTTTGGGTTGTACATTTATAAGTCAAAGTTTGCAAGATGAATCCTACTTTGCCATTGGCTTAGAGTATGATATCAGAAATTCTTGAGCCATTCATCCATCCATTCATTTAACAATCATTTCCTAAGCTCCTACTTTGTTCTGTATGCTGTGGTCTGTGTTAGAGATTTGAAGACAAAATGAAATGTCCCTTCACTCATGGAATTTACATTCCATTGAAGGGATACAGTACATCGATAAGGAAGTACAAAGACTAAACACGATACTACAGAGTCATCTTAAGAAGAAATAATGCACTAATAACTAGGGAGATCAAGAAAGGCTTCCTGTAGGAGGTGGTACCTGAAGAGTGCTTTGAAGGATATCGAAAACATAACATCGTAATCATAGATTTAGAGTTAAAAAGCTTAGAGGCAGTGAGGTGGCTCATTGGATAGAACGTTGAGCTGAGAGTCATCTGAATCATATCCAGCTTAGAAACCGTAGGCTGTCTAAACCACTATCTGCCTCAAAATCCTTAACTGCACACTGGGGATAATAATTGCACCAACCTCCCAGTATGGTTGAGAGGATAAAATGAGTTAATATTTGCAAAGCACTTAATGTGACTAGAACATAGTAGGTGTTTAATCAATTCTGGTCCAATTTCTCCTTCCCTCCCCTCCCCTCCCCTCTCCCCTTATCTGACAGTGCTCTACCCAAAGAAGGCACATTTTGATGGCTGTAAGCTGCCTACCTAACTGGTAGTTTACTGGCTAGATGTCTCTATCAAAGACCACACCTTAAACCCTATTCATTCTGGGGCTCATAGGTTGGACAATAGGTCCCTGCCCAAGTACCACTTAATGGTTATATTTTGGGCCCTCCTGGCTCAAAGTGAATGTAAACAGTAACTGTTTGTCTTTTGAGAAGCAACCCTGAGGGTCTTCCCCTCCATTTGATTTTTTTTTTAATTAAAGCGGCAATCCCTTGACTCACTTCTTAAAGAGGCCTGTTCACTGAATGAGCATTGCCTCACTCAAAGTGAGAACCTGAAAGACCTTAGCTTAAAAGGGCCAAGGTCTCCCACTTCATCCTGGGCCATCTCCAATCATCCTGATGAATATCTGGCCACTGGACCCAGATGGCTCTGGAGGAGAAAGTCAGGCTGGTAACCTTGCACGGCCCTCCCTCACTCAAAACAAAGTCAATTGCAAGTCATGTCATCATCTCCATGATATTATGGTCTTCTTCAAGAACAGAGGACAAACACAACATTTAGTATAACCTTTTCATTTTAAAGATGAGGAAACTCAAAATCACTAACATATATAACTAAAGCATATACACCTTGCCTCCATTCTCTCAAGGCCAGGCCTGCTAATCTCCTCCTCAGGGTTCTAGAGTACCATGAGCAATTTATGGGTATCTCTTCTCTACTGTCATCAGCTTGAGCCCCCCACCAGCTATGTTTCCCCCTTTAGGTGTTTCTCACTAGCACCCCACCCTAGTTTCATTTAACTACTTAACGTGGATTAGCTTTTATAAAGATATTTACTTCAGAATTGATTGATCAGGGTTCGAGAACAGAGGGGTGTGGGTGGAGGGGAAAGGAAGGCTGTCCTAAAGATTGTTAAAAACAGGAAATGGAGGGAAGCATATCTGATCTGCCTGAAATAGTGGATTAGGTGAGATAATCACCAGTTAGGGAACTGGGATACTGGGGTAGAAGATCCAGAGATCTACAGTCTAAAAATCTCTAGGACATAGTTTCTAGTTCAGATGACAAGGTTACTGTAGAGTCTATGGAGAAGATGGCTGGGTAGCAAGGACAATGGCCCTCTAATGTACTGTGAGCAAAAGCAAATCAAGTGTAGGAAAAATCCCTGTAGGAGCTTACAGTCTGGCTCTGGTGACAAGAACCGCCTGTAAAAAGATCAATGAAGAGATGAATGAAGAGAAGAGGCAACACTTGCTGAGTGCCAACTGAGTGGACCTCCACGGACTAGTGCAGGAGGGAATGATTTCTGAGGCTTCAGGCTAGAGAGTAGGGAAGGCATCAGGTAGTACTGAGACAAGTGGAGAGGAGAGTGGCCATTCTGTGTAATGGGACCTATGAGCAAAAGCCAAGAATGTTAGAAACAGTCAATGATTTGGCTGTGTGGGCGAAGGAATAATGAGAAATTTCAAGAAGGTGGAAGGGACCAAACTGTGGAGAGCCTGGAGTGCAAGTCTAAGGACTTTGAGCTTCTTCTGGTAGGTTGGAAAAAGCCACTGAGGATGTAACATTTTGGGAATAATAAACTAGCAGGGCTATGAGAAGGGAAACTGTTCCTAAGGAGATTCATTGCAATAATCTGCCTTTCTGTTATTTCGTTTCTTATATCATGCACTGAATGTTGCAAAGAGATTGGCCTGTTTTCTGTTCTTCAGAAAGGACATTCCATCTTTACCTCTGCAGAGATTGTCCCTTCACACCTTCAGATTTCAGAATCTTTAGCTTTCTGTAAAACACAGGCTTAATCGCCTCATCCAAACCTTTCTGGATGTCCCTAATTGGTGGTGATCCTTACTCTTGAAATTTCTTTGTATTAGTAGGTTTCTCTAACCTTGATAGACCACAGCTGGATCACCAAAGGGGCTAAGAGTATCACACTCATTGTTTGTAGTTTACTCAGGCATGCAGCTGGAATGAATTCAGTCCTGATGATTCCCTTTTCTCAAACTCTTTGGCTTATTAAGTCTTTTATCCAAGTGTTTCCAGAGATAATTTTACTCACATTTAGGGCACACCCAAAAAAGGAGCAAAAAGATATTCAAAGTACAGTATGAATCATGTGTTGGACAAGTAATTTATTCCTACACACAAGAGGAATGCTAAATATATGACCCTCACAGATGTACATAGTACAAAAAACCAAACTTGAAGCAGGGTCTAATAACTTAATTTATTTTTTTTTTCTGGGAGACTGCTCCTTAAACTTCATTAGAACAGGATGATATTTGCAGGACTACTAATTGGGCATTTTTCATTTCACTTTTACTTATTACTATCCAAATAACTCCTGGTCCATGTCTGCTGGTAAGATGGCAAAGCTTAGTATAATCCTCTTGTTGATGGCCATCTTTCCTGAAACACAAGCTTTTCCTGTTGCCATCACATGTCTGCTGCTGCAACCAATTATTCCTCTCATTGGACCCAGGAACTAAGAACATTTCAATATCACAGCTGTCTGCAAGCCTGTCTACATCCACTTTGGGATACTCTTTGGTCCGAGATCAGAGAAGAGCAAACACAAAAGAGGAAGCTTAACCTAGACTCAAGCTTACTCAAGAAG